AAAACCACAAAAATTCGCTAAGTGAAGACAGCACTGGAAAGCTATATTGCAAATAGTAGTGAACAAACCCTATTTAGACATTGTCCTTTTTCATGAGACACAAAGGCAGGCAAACATTGTAACCCAAAGTGTTAAGGTTTGAAAGTGCCGTTCACAAAACTTTCAAATATACCATTGTACATTTGATGTCTTGAGCCAGTCAGCTGAGGCAGAAAAGTTACAGGATGCATCCAAATGGAAGTAACTGAGCTGGTAACTTTGGGTATGTCATATGACAGGGTGAATGGCTGAAACTTGTTCGAGTCAACACAGCTCTTTACATCTCACTGAAACGACTTTTGTAAGAACAGAATTCCTTCTCATCCAGAAATTACTCGGACTTTTCTAAAGACCAGAAACTCTCGCCCCAATCACATTCTCAAACACAAAAATCATCAGTGATAATTACAGCATGCTCTTTAATTCAAAAAGTATGTCACGTATAACTAATGCATCGTAAGATTAATCTCATCATATGTCCTATATCATCCATCAGTTAAAAGCAACAAAGTCTCCATTGCCAGATTGTTTAGATGGTGCCTGATACATGATTTAATTGAGCCCAGTGAGTTTTTCAAGCATCTGTGTAGTCTCAATGAAAACAGTAATTTCTCTTTATTTCTATGGCACAAATCCATTGCTGGTGTATCAGAAGTTTAGCGTATAAAAGTAAGTGCTGATTCAGTCCCAGTTTGTTCTGTGATACCATGTATCAGAAAAGGTAGGACTTAGAAGTAGCAGTTTCTTGTGCTTTATAAAATGATTTGCCAGCACCAGAGATATGTTTCTCATTGAATAATCAGGACTGGACATATATGCACCCATGAGTTCCACCCTGGGTAGAAAAGTCCTGCCTATTAAATAATCTGTTTTGAAAAGCACAAACTCAGATTTTCCAAAGAGCACTGTAGTAAAAATTTTGTCCTTAAAATTGTTGTGCTATCTGGAAGAAAACCAACAGGCTTTTGCTTGGTTCTACCCACAGGGTATTTTTTCTGGATTGATCAATTTTGTCCTACCTTCACATTTCTAGAAAAACATGAAGGATTTTGTATCACCATAGTCATCCCTTTTCTCTGTGATCTACAAAAAAAAGTATTAATTACAAGAAAATTATGATGTACTCAACATATTAAAGCATAACCTAAGATGGCTTGTTTTTTAGTGAACGCTTTGCAGCTCTGGGAATTATTCTCACCAGCTCTGCAGTGAGAAGGACTTAGTTTGTCTCCAGAGGTAACAAATCTGTCTTTACCTTCCGAGCTGCCTTCAAGTACGTGAAGAACTTCACTTAAAATCTGGGGATCTGCCTGCTGAGATAAAGCAATTTTTCGGGTAAGACGAAGAGGCCTGAAACTGTGTTCCCTAGTAAGAAATTCATGGTGTCTGGCTAAGCAGATTGTTTCAGAAGCTTTTGCTTCATCGAGGTCTCAGCTTGGTGAAAAATCTGTTGCCTTTGGTCTTAAAAATAAGTAGTGTCATTTTCTCCTTGCAATGAATTCTTTCATCCAATCGTATTCCTGTATGCAAATATACCATAGCCGGTCCAGATAAAAAAGCACAAATAAAGCTAAGAGCTCAGTCAGGACAAAAATCACTGTGCTTCCCTTATACCTCATTTCACCTGTATTTCAGGAATCCTCAGCTGAAAATATGAAGAAACAGAGTTCAGACAGCAATACTGCTCCAGTTTTGCCAGTGCTGCCAGAACCACTCAAAGATCTGAAAATTAAGTACACCAAGGTTAGTAGCATTTGTGTTTCTTATTTTTTTGTAGGCATTTAGCTAGGAAGGTAGGATGTGCTCATTTTAATCTTATATGAACCACGGAAGCAACTGTAAATCAGTGTTTAAAATGTTTATTCCGACTTGTTTCTGATATCATATGTATTAGCAATTAATGTTCAAAGATCCTTCTCATCTAAATATTTCAGGAAGTGTCCAAGCGTGATAGAATCATTTCGTATTTCACTCAGGGTGGGTGTTGTTTTTCTCCTGAAACAAACATTCTGCAGTGATAAGTTTCTCAGAAAGTATAAATAGAGAAGGAAAAGTTTCTATTATTATATTGGTTTTCAGAACAGTGAGAACAAATCAAAATGTTAGCATATTGCATCATATTACAATCAGATTTAAATAATTATATCAAATAAGCTTATGTGGAAAGGGATGTGTGAAAACGAAACTAAAATAAAATTCACTCCACTTACATTTTGCTTAGTGACAATGAATCTGTTTCTCAGCTTAAACAAATAAATATCAATAAATCAGATAAAGTCTAAAATCGCTAATTAGTCAATATTACCAAAATTAACTTTTTGTAAGAGCAAATTCTTTCCATATGCAGTTAGAAATACACACTTAAAGAAGGTCTGAGTCCAGACTTGTGTTCCCAGCTTGAAAAGACCTTTTGCCTGTTTTATATCATAGTACACAGGTATCTGCAAGAACTTTGAACAAGCTGTTGGCAGAAAATATTGAAACTCTGGCTTCTGAAACACTCAGGTGGAACAATTGATCAGAAAGGACCTCTTCTCTTTGGAGACTCCTCGTTTACTGCTCTTTTTTTTTTTTCTCATTGTCATTGCAATGGAAATAAATACTATTTTCTAGAACAACAGCTTATTTTCTTTTCCAAAAGCAAGGTGTTCAGTGATTATCTAGATTAGTCATTTTGAATTCCATTCCATGTTGGTTTTTTTCATGGAAAAAAAAACCTAACCAGATTTCAATGCATGTCTTTCTTAAATAAATCAGGCAGGACCTTACTTTGTAAATATTTAACAGGCTACAAAGGCTATGTAGTTCTGCCATGTGATAGCTCTCTACTGCTCTTCCTGTCTCAAAAAAAATAAAAACAAACTTAATTCAGATGAGGTATTTTAGTACCTAGGTCACAGTGGTGTTCCAGAAACTATACTGCTATTTGTCTGGTTTATTTTTCCAAAAGAAAACAACTAATGCCAGCTCAGAAAACTGATGTAACTGAATATGTAAGACATAAATTCCTATAAATATTTCTATCCTTCTAAAAAAATTTGTTAGCAAAAACTTATTCCATTGATACAGTAAGTAACCACAAGATAGCCAGCATGGCTGAAATGTCTAGTGAGCAATTAAGGAGAGTGTAACATAGCAAATACATGGTTTCTTTTGCCTTGACGAGAGATATCATTTCGTTAAAAACTGCATATAATGTGTAACCATGCAGAAATAAAATGCACTTGTTTGCAAAAGTGTGTACTTACAAGAGATCAAATCCAAAACACCCTTGCAGAGGCTTGCTTTTTGCAATTCTTTCCTCCTCTCTTCAAATATCATACAGGATTGTCTGAAAGCCACGACAGTGTACTGAAGGACAGGGAGATGGGATAAGAGAAATGTCATCCCATACCCAGCATTTATCCTACAATTTAGTAAAGCCTTTCTACTCTAGTCTTCTTAACCGTCTTGTTCCTCTCCTGTCCCATACAAATTAGAATGTGGGGTGTGGGATTATTTTGACCAGTTATGTTGGAGGTATCAAGATGAGGGAAGCATTAATTACTGCTGGTGTATTAACCTTTCTGTCTGAAGCACCTTGAACATCAGATCCCTCATCTCTGGAAACTCAATTTCCTCTTTTTTACCGTAGCATAGTATCAACAGTCATCACACAAGGATCTGAAGAAAGGCCTGTGGAAGTGTTCCAAAGACGTTTCTCTTTACTTAACACTCTCTCCATTTTATTTTCTATGAGAGGAATCATTTTGGGCCTTTTGCAGAGATCATTTAACTAAGTGTTTCTAACTAAGTGTGCATCTACAGGTTCGTATAGGTACATTTCAGATTATCTTTCACATATAGCATAAAACTAAGATATATTATATATTTCAAGATTATATTTCAAGAATTAATCTGAATGCATTTTAAAGAGTTTCCTATCTGAATCTCCTTTAAAAATATTCCAATAAACTGAATGAGTGTTGGCAGCTGGCTAAAAACGTATTAGCAAGTATTTTACTTAGTCAATACTGAGGAATTAGACAATGACACTTTGAGAAATTATTTCTGCCATGATGCTTTCACATACACTAAGCCCTGTGGTGCTTTTTTAATCAGAGAAACTCAGATTAGTTAATTATTAGGCTGTCAAATTACATGTGAAGGAGAAAATGGCAGCGCATTCTCTCACTAAACTGTAAGTGGAATATAAGAAAGTGTGGAAGGGTAAGCCACTCTGAGGCAAGAAAATTTTTAGTTGAGTGTCACATATGTTGCAATCACTAGCTTCACAAAGATGAGGAGTAAAACCACAAAAATTTAATTAGAGTGTCTGGGGAAAAGTAATCAGCTATAAAGGTACTATAGAAACATATTCTTTTTAAGATCAGCTGACTTTGTAGATACAAAGTCACTAACTGATAAATCAAAACTTTTAAATAAATAATTACTAGAAAAAGTATGTTCTGTGATTATTAATTCATTGCATCAATTTAGTTAATTCCTGCATCAATAATAACATACAATTCCAAGGCGGGGAAAAAGTTACATGAAATATTAGCCAAATATCACTTTCTTGTAAGGAAAAACCTGGGGGGGAAAGAGATTTCACAGTAGGCATTCTATATTGACCTAATTGTTTTAAAGCTTACAATTCCAGTCTTTAGTATTTTCTTGAAAAATTTCACAGATTTTAACCGTATTGCTTGAAGAACACAGTGAGATTCCGTGACATATTTCAGTACTAGTAAAGCAGAACTTACAGCACTTGAAATGAGCCTCCTCTTGGGTCAAAAATCTCTTTCAGGTTTAGCTGTAACTGTAAGATTTACTGCCATCATCAAACTCAGGAATATATGAATGACTCATAATCTGTAAGAGGGCTGTGAACAGGGACCAACAATTTTTCAGCACTGTGCACCACCTCACCTGAGTGATGCTGAATTGCCTCCAGCGTGCAGGAGACTAGTCACAGCCCTGGTGCCTCCTCACTGTTCCTGGCCTCTAACAAACGCTGGTGACAGCATTCGCTGGTTTACTGTCTGCAGTAGAAAGCTTGTGAGCAGTCAGCTCAACTGCTGTCAAAATGTAGTGATCACTTTTCACTCACGAAACAGGCAGCTGGGCTCATTTGAAAAGCATTGTCAAGAAAAGCTTTATCATAGTAAGAGCTATAGGCTATCTGGGGGTAGACTTATAGGGGGAAGAGGTCATGCTTTTTCTTGTACCATAAGTTTGGAAGAGTTTCTGGTATCTAAAGAGAAGATAGCTTAGACATTTCATTCTATATTTATAAAGCTTCTCTTAATAGCAAAGTTCGGGGTAGTCCACTTTTTAGGTAGCTCTACTACTTTTTTTGACTACATCTCTGTAGTATGGATTATAGTTTATGACAATAATAATGAATGAAACATAAAAATTCTTCCCTAATGAAGAATAAGTTTATAGACAGATGCTGAATAAGATATCATGCGTAGGATGTTTGCAACATAAGAAATTAGGTGTTTTCTTTTCTAAACTGCACTTCTAAGTCACTTCTACAGAAGCACTGAGGCCTGAAACCCTGTATGGACTTTGCACAATACTGAACCCACAAAAAAGGGGATCCTTATTCTAAGGAAGATGCAGCAACAAGTTATGTTTCATGAGGTGATGACACCTATTGTAGAGGTCCTAAAATCTGTTTCAGCAGAGCTATGATGTGGTCCATCTGAGACAAAGCTGTCCAAAGTCAAATACTTTCTTTCCTCATGCAGCACAGACACAAATATGGCACTTCCCATCTAGAAGATAATTTGTAAATGAACTCGAGGTCCTTTCAAAATACTTAAGGACTGAAGGGAAAAAAAACACACTTGAATGGCACAGAAAGGCAAAAAGCAGGTCTTGTCTCCCTGTTTTCTGCTCAGGCCATTTGAGTGATCAAATGTCTAAACAATGACAGAAATACTGCAGTATTGCAGATAACTTCAACCGTGAACGGTGAATGGTACGAGATTATCTGAACTGAAATCAATCTTTTCAGAGAATCAAGATTTTATTGCACTCTGGCACAGAAATAAAGCCAGTCAGAGTGTTTTTGACTGCAATGGCCTTTTACCTGGGATCTATTTTAAATACCAAGCTTTGTACAGTCTTATCTACAAGAAGGGTGTATTTCCAGGTCTATTGCAAAGTCTGAAAGTCATTAAGTCTTTGAGTTGTTGAAATAAAAACCATCTTCTCTCCTAAAAATACCAGTGAAATCACAGTTACAAAAGGCCTGCAACAACATTTCTAAATCCTTGCAAAATAAATTTGCAGCCCTAAACCTCATGGGCCATCAGTCAAGACAGACAACCCCCTGCACGGCATGTGCCACAGAAAGGTAGGTCTTTTGCATCTATGTCTGACAAACCAGCACAAAAAAATTTAAGCTGCCAGTGGAGTTCTGACTGACAGACGAAACACTGTAACCTATTGCAAGATGACCCCAAATGTTTTTTTTCAGCAAGACAAGGGAGTTGCCAGAGGCTGCTATTGGTTTGTACTTCAGTGTTGCCTGGACTTAGAGATCCGCATCCTGTTTGTTTGCAGCATACAACCCACAGCATTAAATGAGCATGGCTGCATGCACATTATGAGTACAGCTGCCTGCAATGTATGTAACACTGCTTACATGGAGAGTTCTGACTTTTTCCTTCTCTGTCCTGTCTTTCATACCTGCATATGCAAGATTGCTATCTAGCTTATGAAAGGCATCTGGATAGTTTGATTTATACAGCCCTGATACTATGCTGTGTGTATGTTTAATATAATGAGGTTATGTTTTAAATGGGAATGGTATTAGAAACATTAATAAGAAAGATATTCTAAACCAATATTATGGGTGATATTTGTTGGTGCAATAAACGTAGCATTTAAACAAGCACTTTAAAAACTTCCAAAAATGGTATGTTTTGCCATTATTCCTTTCACAGACAGATATGAATTTGGCATACTGTAACATCATAGCAGTGTTATATTAATATTTACCTTTCACTTTGTCTCTTTTCTTGGCAATGTAACTAGTTACTGAAGATGGCTTCTTTCATATTAACCATTTAACTGCTGCCTTTGCCATTTCACAACAGTCAGAATTTTGTGTGGATATTCCTATAACCAACTTCATCACATATATGAAATTTCCAGGGACTTACACATTTATTTCCTTGACAGCTTTTGTTAAATCAGGAGTTTACTGGTCAGTTCTGATGGTCGGAGGCAGCAATGATGCTCTATATATGGAGTCACATAGAAACAAATTGAAACATACAGGAACATATTAATAGCAAATTGTTATCCATTTAGAGAGAGTATTTATATTGATCTTGATGCTATCACCCAACTATTCAATAACTATTAACAACCACTTAGACAGTCAGAGTAAGAAATTTCCACACTGTGCAAAAAAATCTGTTCCCTGAAAGATGTCATGTTTTCTTAACATATGTGGTGGTAGGGTTTAAATCCTGGGTCTATGCGACAAAAAGCATCTATCCTGCAGTTACAGTGTTTTGACTTTGTCCTGCCTGAGTCAACCATCATTTGCTTTGTGCCCCAAAGTATTTTATGGTTTTCTATTTAAATGTTCCTGCTACTCTGAGCAGCAACAGTGGGTCTTTTATCCTAAGAGAGGAAACAGGAATCATATCTTTTCCACTAGTTGTTCTCACAGCTAAGCTCCAGCGACTAAAAGTGGGGCAAGATGCTATGACCCTAAAGACAGGCACGGTTTGAGCACAAAATAGCTGGTACAGTCAGTCAGAACCTGCCATGGTCTCAATGATGAGCATAATCAAGATCTCACATGCATGCCAGCAATGCAGCAGAAGTGGAAGAGAGTGAGAAGAGAGGGCACAGGCCCACGAGCAGAGGAAGATAGGCTCAGGCACTAGGAGGGCAGCTTAGGATGGTGACCCCATTTCAGCGCTGACCTGAACTCAGAGATCACAGAGGTGGTTAGACAGAGGATGACAGGTACTGTTAAGGTTGGGCTGTATACATCATCATACCCACTTTAAAGAACAACCCACACATGGTAGAAGCATAGCCTCCTCTTTTGAACAACTGTGTTATGTATCAGAACTTTCCAATGAGATTTTCCTTTCTGTTGCAAGACTAACCTACAGTGTCAGAAATAAAAAGTTAACCAATGTTGAGAATTTTACCAGCAGTGTCTCAGATGTGGTAGGCTCTAGGATAGCACAGGTCTTGTGCATCTATGGGTAAGGCCCAAGTTTTATCCTCCATTTGTGACCAGAGATAAATACCTTGGATTTCCTCAGCTTTCACTCTCCTTGTCCTCTAAATTTTCACAGTTGCATAGTATCATAATTTCTCAGTAATTATAGCTATAGCAGATCATATTTTTAGCAGATTGTTTTATTTTCTGTAACCTAGCAATTGTTGAATCAGTTTTTCGTTTTGTATCATCTTTAATATGTCAAAAGAGAAAATTCAGAATCATTATAGTTATTTCAATACTGGTATAAAGTACATCATTTAAAAGACAACGTTTGCCTCTTTAGAATAGTGTGTATGGTGACATATTTTCCCAACACAAAGGAAAAACATTGATTTTTAAGGAACAATTGCACTGGTTTATTTCCTTGGGTTTTTGTTTGTTTTGATGAAAAAGCAGACTAATTCCTACAGATTTCATCAACAGTCTTATTAATATTTAGTAACCAAAACCCTAGAAAGACACAGAACTGTTCACTCCTGAAACCCTCTTTGGACAGTTTTAAGGCATATTCAGCACAACTGAAATGAAAACACCAGAAAGAGCTATACTAAACAAATGATAAAATTAATAGTAAAATCAAAGCAGACATGGTGGGAATTTTGTGCTGTCTTTGGAGAAAATATTCTTGTATGACACTGATGTCATTTAGACTTTACAAGGATTTCAAACATCTAATTATTCCTTCAGCTGTAACAGTACCTTTGACAATTACTTATTCCCATACAAAAGGGCTTAGGTTTGAATTTCTGGGGTTATTATAGTGAAAAAGGTTGTGGATCGTAAAAGTTCAGGACTGGAAACAACAATGCCCACCTTACTTTGTTTAGGTCTTTTTGTAAGTGCACCAGCAACGTTGCAATCAAGAGTTGATGGTATTTGTTCCAGCCATGCAAAGTAAATTCAGTACACAACGTGCTTTCAGCCAGGACAAAAGTTTGATCTTTGAGTAAGGACGCAGTTCCTAACATTTATTAGATAAATTTTGGGTATCAATTTCATTTGCTGCTGGGTAAGCTGTTATGATTAACTTTGGTGTAGGCCAGCTGCTGTGCAGTTATTGTTCTTTTGTGCTACTTAATTGCTAGCTATATGTTTTGCAGTCTATGAAAAGTTTGAACTACAAAGATATTAAATAAAATGACAAGATATTCTAGCAAGATTGAGGAAAGCACAATTTTAGCTTATTTTGCGGGTTTTCTTGTTAGACTTTTTCCAGTCTCTGTCAGTCTCTGCATACTGGCTTGGTTTTCCTGGTATATGAATATTCCACGTGAAAGTAACAGATTAGCAAAAGAGGTTAGACAATATCTGGGAGAATGGAAAATCAAGAGTGGTGGCGTCTGCTGAACAAAATCTATGTAGAGACATAACAGAAATCCTCAGAGTTGGAATGAAGTACGAAAAAGTATCAATATGGACACGAGTTATGTTAATTTGCTGTAATACCCCTTGCAGTTCAAACAATAATAGTCAGACATTGGCAACAATAGTCAGAATAACAGCAGTATGTTTGCATTTTATGCCTAAAGGCTGAAGGGGAAGCAGGGAAGTATCACCAAAGTCCAGGTGACAAAAGATTTGGTATCTGTGACCATTAAATTAGAGGTAATCAGGGTATTGATAAAAATTACTGAATAAGTAATTAATAACATCAAATAGCTAGGATCACCTTAAATAGAAGATAGTGATACTGATTATAAAGCAATGACAGCTAAAATGATTACCCAAAGATCACCCCTTCAAGGCCTGAGGTCATACAAGGCATGTAGCCTCACCCTTCAAATGCAGGAATTGACAGCATGTGCTGAAGACCAAAACTGAAGAGATTTGAATTCCTGGTGTTTTGCAGAGAAACTTTTGGGTAAGGAGGGGAAAGAAAAGAGCCCCCCATACACATGGCCATCAGCTGTAATCCTGCTGAGCGATGAGGGTACATACTCTGACAGTACCCATATTTCTTGTATATTTCTATGATTATATTCACATGCTGAGTGCAGGATTACAGTAATGTGGCACAACCCCACTTCTGGCACTCATAGTATAACCCCTGGGAAATAACAGCATTAGGACGTGACAATGTTCGGTTGAGATCCTGCAAATAGTTTTCCCAAAGCAGGAGTAGGAACTACCTTTGACAACTATAATCAGAAGTGCCACTGTACCCCATATATTTTCATCTAGAATATGCTGAGTTGTATAAGGCTGTATGGGTAGCTGAGGACCACAATCACCTTCTGCCCATAAGCCACCCTTGAAACTCCCCTCATTGTCAGCTCTTGGACATTTTAATTTGGCCAGTGTAAATATTTTGGCATGTGCTCGTTCAGTCTGGAAGACTAGTCTTCCTTTCCTTGTAAGATTAGGAGAGGTAGAAAAACAGCAATTGAAGAAAAAGGTGTTTGTGATTTCATCAGTAAAGTAATTCAACTGTTTTCCAAGGCAACAATTGATATGAGAGGGCTTTTCTCCTATTACGTGCTGCTCAGTGTGTTTTAAAGAGAATGCCTCTGTGAAATGCAGCAGCTACCAACAACAAGGACAGTCTAGGCTTTCTTTAAGGTTGCTAACAGCGTACTTCGGATGAATACATCAGTCATTGCCGCTTGATTTGTAATTCCTATCTTTATTTAATGGAGTAAATTCTATTTTTTCTGTAAAAGATTAGGAGCATTAAGTTTCTACATTTATATCTTGATTAGGATCACATTCAATGAAGCAGCAATTCACAAAGCCAAAGGATTTTGGTGAAAAATAAAAGAGCCCCTCCCTAATCTCTAATTATTTTTCTCTGTAACGTAAAAATAGAGATGTATATTTACTTGCTTTTAACTCTGCTCAAATGGTTCTTTCTTTGTTTCATTCAATTGACTGTGATGAGATTTCTTTAGTCTTGACTTTAGTCTCAGAAAAGTGTGCTATGAGT